GGAGGGCTGGAGTGCAGTGGCGCGATCTCGGCTCACTGCAAGCTCCGCCTCCCTCCCGGGTTCACACCTTTCTCCTGCCTCAGCCTCCCGAGTAGCTGGGACTACAGGTGCCACCGCGCCCGGCTTTTTTTTGTATTTTTAGTAGAGACAGGGTTTCACCGTGTTAGCCAGGATGGTCTCGATCTCCTGACCTCACGCTCCACCCGCCTTGGCCTCCCAAAGTGCTGGGATTACAAGTGTGAGCCACCGTGCCCGGCCAAAACTATTATTTCTTGATATATACTTTGTCAAAAAAAAAACAAACGAGTTTGCATATTTGATTATCGAGTGAACGTATTGCATACGGTAGTATGGGAACTAGCTTGTTCTGTGACTTTGGGCACTTCTCTATACCTAGGCTTCAATTTCCTCATCAGTAAAATTAAGAACAAGTAAGAATGATCTCTATAATCTGGATATGCAATACATATTCTGAGAAAATGAATTTTTCCACTATTGTTAAAATATCAATATTTCATATCAAGTATATTAAGGAATACTTGTGCATCCATTTGTAATATTTTATAATATATTGTAGGTGACTAATAAGTATGTTTTCAAGAGTAAAGTATTCTGTTAATTTTTCGGGAGCTTGTCTTCAATAAACTGCCTATGTGCTATTACTGATACACTTCTGGACAAGGACAAATTTAGGAAGAAAATTTAAGACAAAATATCAAGACACTAATAGCCTTTACGACTGAATAATCTAGCCTCACCGATATGGATATTTCCTAATAAACTAACAGATGAGTCTGGAAATGCAGGTAGATTTTTTTCTGTTAGGTCTCTTTTAGAGAGATTTTCTCTGAGCCTTTTGATTCAATGATAAAAATGAGAACTGAAGATTTCCTTGTCAATAGTGAATCATAAAGTTCTGACCACCGGGAAACACTCCTGGAGAAGCGTGTCTAAGGAAGACAGAGTTGAGCAAAGAACTTAGGAAAAAGGTCTTTGTATGTTCTCCAGTTACAGTGTCTTTACTCATTTGGAGGTGGTGGAATTTACATCAGTCATTGAAATGACTCTTTTTAAAAATTTAATTTAATTTAATTTTACGTTCCAGGATACATGTGCAGGATGTAAACATATGCCATGGTGGTTTGCCACACCTACCAACCCATCACTAGGTATTAAACCCCACATGCATTAGCTATTTATCCTGATGCTCTCCCTCCCACTGTGACCCAGCTTGTGATGTTCTCCTCCTTGTGTCCATGTGTTCTCATTGTTCAGCTTCCACTTATAAGAGAGAACATGTGGTGTTTGGTTTTCTCTTAATATCTACTCTTAATCGTTTTACATGAAAGAAACTTGTAAGGTATGTATACCTGAACATATTTACTGCACTGTACTTGTTCCAGTTTCAGATGAGATAGTCTTGTCATGCTATCAGCTGCCCTTTTCCATAAGACACTTGTTTCCCCTTGACGTAAGGGTCCCACTTCATGCTTCCTGAAGCATTGCAATCTTTTCAAAACTTAAACATCTTTGTGGGGTCCCTGAATCTTGTAGCTTTTTGACCTTTTTAAGGAATAACATTCTACCTTGGTTGTAGAAATGCCTTTCTTCTGTGTTGGTGTCAATTAAATTGAATTTAATGGGCATCCCCTCTAAATCCAGCATTGTGTTAGGTTTTCTAAGAGACTGAAAAGAAAAAATAATATGTGAGCCTGAGTCTTGGGCATAGTCCCTCCTCAGCTTCCTTCCCCTCACCTGAGTTCAAAGATTCCCTCACAGTGCATCTCCTGTCTTGTCCCAACTGTCAAGCCATTTCATGTTTTCAGCAAGAATATCAATAATTGAACAAGGAACCTGACCTCACCATTAAGCTGTGCTCCTCAAACATTAGATTCGGTTGTCTGATCACAATGGCTGGGTTGCTGCACACTTCGCCAAATACATATGTCACTGGTAATCACAGGCAGGGACTTGAGCAGAAGTGATACCATGTGCTTCCATGGTTTTTGAATCAAAACACTCACCACCTCCTTCCCAGGATGGCTCATTACAGTTAGGTAATTAGACTTCATCTGCCTGGTAAACTACAAAGTACATAAATTGCTTGGCATAAAGTTTTCCTTTGCCTTTTCCCCTCTGTGTGGTATAGTTTCTGCCAGAAAAGCTGCTGCCAGATCAGTGTTCCTCTCAGTTTGGATAGTTTTTGCCATTTTTAGAATCCAACATAAGTAACATTCCCCCTGATTCCAACCACCAACTTGTTTAACCCATTGAATTGATTTGAATCAGAAAAACCACTATTTTATATTGCTCCTGAGATTGGAGCTTCTCTTTCCAATGATCCCTGGAATCGCACTTTGAATACTACACATTGAGCCATCTGATGGTTCTCGATGGGAATTTATAACCTTAGAGTTTTCATTAACATGGGAGAAAAAAATATTTTTAAGCAAAGCTGGAATCAAATCCCACCAACCAGAGCTGATTTCTGGGATGGTAGAATGAGAATATCAGTTTCTTACCTTCCAAACATTATCTTCCTTTACAAATCAGTCTGCCCACCCAACAAATTTCATCCTTTAGTAGCATTATAATTCTTCCAGATTTTAAACTTCAAAGTTTTCTTTTTCTTTTCTTATCTTTCATCTACTTACTCTCTAATACTCAATTTTCTTGGCTTGCCATTTTACACTGTATAATTGTATTACGTGGCTTCCCTCACCTTACATGTCACATATCATCTGAACTCCGTGTTTTCTGCTTTAATCCATCCGGTATACCATGACCAGTCTTTATTAACCATTACTTTAATAATATCAATTTTCTATTTAAAACTTTCCAGTGGCTTCAAATTTTTATAGATAATTAAGATTAACCTTGTTTTAGATATTGTGATTTTGACCATGAATTCTATCTTATTTCACACTTATTCAAAATACACCTTCTTATCCCTGTCAAAGTTGGCTCATTTGCTGTCTCGTGAACATGTTATAACCATTCCCACTTTTGTCTCTGCAAAACTGGATGGCAAACTTAAATTGGATATTAGATCGGTTTTAATAAGGGAATATTTTTGTATATACAAAAGTATGGACAGAAGTAGGGAAACTACCATAGAGAGTATAATTCCCCAGGGCTAGTATCAGTGTAGACTGTTAGATCAGAGGGTCCAGGAGATGAAGTAGATACTAGGAACTGCAAGAGGAGACTGGTGTTGATAGTATGACCAGGAAAGTCCTGATGGTCAGTGAAAGATCACAGCCAAGGTCAGGCCCACAGGGAGGGTCCGGGAGAATTAGTACCCTAACATCTCCTTCCTCCTTCCTCTGATATCACAATAGGGGTACCATTTGGCAAAGCCCATTAAAAGACTGATGGTACAGAAACATGCTGAAGACTAAAAAGGTAGGTAAGCCTGTCACTAAGAAGTGTGAAGAAGAGGTGAGATTGATTTTGTAGTTAAAAAAAAAATCCAACATATTTGTTTAATTTTAATTTTTCTTGAAAGTATTTTATCTTTATAGCTTTCCACTTGCAACTCACCTTACTCTTATCTTTATATTTACATACAATAAACACACTCTTTTTAGTATACAGGTTTATGAGTTTTAACAAGTGCATAGAGTAGTACAACTACTATCAAAATTAAGATACAGAACATATCCATTACCTCCCCAAAATTTCCTCATGCAGTTCTTTGCAGTGACCTCTTCTGTTCCTCTAACCTGGCATCCAGTGCTATATTCTCACTTCATTGGAGTATTCCGTCTTCCAGAACCTCATATGAATGAAATCATATGACCACAAAAGGCAGTATATAGCATCTAAGTCTGGCTTCTTTCACTTATCAAAGTGTATTTGAGATTCATTCATGTTCTTGAGTGTATCAATAGTTCATTTTTTTAATTGTAAAGAAATATTTTATTATATGAATGCACTGTATTTTTAAAAAATCCATTCACCAGTTGAAGGACATATGAGGTATTTCCCATTTAGAGTGACTATAAATAAAGTAGCTATAAACTTACATACAGACTTTGTGGTGTGAATCTCACCTAAGAGTAAGATCGTTTGGTCATAGACTAAGTGCTGTTTTACTGTACAAAGTGACTTAACATTTTGCATTCCCTCCTGTGAGCAATGTATGAGAGTTTCACTTACTCCATATCCTCATCCCATGCTTGGTGTTGTCATTTTGTTTTGTTTTTGCTTTGCTTTGTTTTGCTTTGGCCATTCTAGTATATGTAAAGAGCTATCTAATTGTGATTTCCATTAACAATTAGTGACTAATCATGATCAGCCCGTTTTCACGTGCGTGTTTTGCCATCTTCTTAGTATCTCATCTCTCCATATATCTTCTTTGCACACCTGCCTGCTTAAAATTTTGTCCACTTTTTTAGATTGCTCCTTTTCTTTTTGTGTTGTCAGTCCTTTATATACTTGGAGAAAAGGTCCCTTGTCACATGTTATTTACAAATGTTTTCTGCTGGTCCGAAACTTGCCTTTTCATTCTTTTAATAATGACTTTTCAAGAGTAAAAGAGTAAATGTTTATACAAAAAGAACTAATCATTAAAATAAAATATATTTAAAACAAATGGCAAAGGACAATATTTTACAACATTGTCTAAATACTAAATGAAATGCACAATTTTCTAGAAAGAAAAGAGAATTCACCAAAATTTGGCCTCAGTAGAAGGTTAGAACAAGTACCATAGAAGAAATAGGGAGGTGGCAAGCCTACCGGCTTTGAGAGGGAATTCTGACAAACTTTTAAAGACTATATAATTCCAATGTTTCTTAAATTATTTGGAAACATAGTAAAAGAGAAAAAAAATTAATTCCATTTTAAAATTTGGTTCGAAATAATGCAGGAGGAGCAGGTGTAGGAAGTACAAATCAGACAAAATCGGTCTTGAGTTAAATTAAAGCTACCTGGCTGAGTGTGGTGGCTCGCATCTTTAATCCCAGTACTTTGGGAGGCTGAAGCAGACAAATTACCTGAGGTCAGGAGTTCCAGACCAGGCTGGCCAACAGGGTGAAACCCCATCTCCACTAAAAACAAACAACAACAACAACAAAAAAAAAAAAAAAAGAAAAAAAGAAAGAAAAGAGAAAAAGAAATATCAAAACCACATGATAGGAACACAAAGGTTAATTATACTCTTCTCTGCAGTTTGTAATGTCTGAAATGTTGCACAGATATAGTTTTTAGTAAATCAAACCACCAACACACAAAGAACATAAAAACATTTATGAATAGAAATGAAAAAATGACACAGCAAATAACTTTCATAAATCTATAGGAAATAAACATTTTAAATAGGATCCCACCATTAATAAGAGATATGAACAGATAGGAACAAAACATTGCAAGCTAAGTAATTGAAACAAAAATTAATGAGTAAGAATAGAATAAATCTCACTGTTTCATTTAAAAATAATAAAAACAACATTTTCTGATGATTATACATTAAAGTAGAATTAATTTTTAAAGAGGTGAGAAATTGTTACAAACAGAATTTTAAAACTTCTTTAAGAACATCTCTGTACTAAAAGGAATAAACAAATCAAAATTAAAGAATTTCTTTTAGAAATAATTACAAGTGTACCAAAAATGCTTTATGGAATACAATTAAAACAATGCTCAGAGAAAAATTTGCGGTTCTTAATACAAATAGCAATAAAAACTGGGAAAGGGAGATAAATCAACTAAGCATTGTTTAATAAAGAAAGAAAATAACAACTAAATAAATATAAGGAAAGCGGAAAAACAAAATAATAAAGATAAAACCAGAAAAAAGTAAATTAGAAAACAAGAAAATTAAATAATATCTTTTTAAAAAGTTGATTTTTGATGAAATCAAAAAAACAAACCCAATAGCTAACAAAACCGAGAAAAAATGGAATAAACATAAGCACAAATACACAAAATTAAAATTATAGAGAAAATAACTTTTGAAGTTACAATAATTTTAAAAATTTTCTTAGATGACTTTATACAGTTCTTTGGAAATCAAGTTGAAAACTTAAATGAGAAAAGTAAATTCCTAGTTAAAGTTTGCGAAAACAATCCTAGGAAGAAGAGAAAGTTTGAATTTCAATACCCATAGAAGAAATAGAGAACGATATGAAAATGTTATACCTCCAAAAAGGCCCTCATTCAGATGTTTCCATACAGACTGATTTTAAATCTTCAAAGAACAATAATGTTATGCTATTTAAATTATTCCCAGGTTTATAAAATAAGGAAAACTTTCAAATTAATTTCATAAGAGGGCATTAACAATGATCCTCAAACCTGGCAATGATTGCAACAATTACAACCACAGAAATGACTGAATTACAAACTAATCTCTTGTAGATATTGATGAAAAGTTATAAACAAATCATTAAAAAATAGAATTCAGCAATGCATTTGTTAAAATGCACTACGAGTAAGTTACACTTATCCCAGAAGACTAAAGACAAATCAAAATCAATATCTTAATTAACAAGGAAACATCTTTCTTGTTGTTATTAAAACCACGAAAAAGGCAAGAATGACTATAATATCCACTACTACTTAATATTATAGTGAATACTTCAGAAAAGATTAATAATTTGAGGCATAAAAATGAAAAAGAAGGAAGAAAAATTGTTTTTATGTTTAGATTATATGATAGTATACCTTGAAACCAGAGGCAACCATTGAAAAAAGTTAATACAAACAAGAGAATCAGTAATTTAGCAGGTTATAAAAGTTAAAATACAAAAATCAATAGCCCCTTTCTGACCCAAAATAACCAAGTTTAAAATATATTGGAAGAGAAAATGCCACTTATTACAGAAACAGCAAGAACAAATATCCATGAATATTTTTAACAAAATACATGGAAAGTATAAATGAGGGAAAATCTAAAATACCATTGAAATACTGAGAAAGTAGGTTCTTTCACATGGAGAATCCTTTTATGATCTTGGATAGAAAAACTCAACTAAAAGATGCCACTACTTCCCATGTTAATGTATACATTTAATGTAATACCAACACAATCTAACATTTAATTTTATTTTCTTTTTCTGGAGCTACACACAGTAATTTTAAAATTAATATTGCAAAATAAAAAGGGACTGTCTGGAAAACCCTGAAAAATGTGAACAATTGAGTTGAAGAGAGTGTGTGTATATATATATATGTGTATATATGTATTTGTATATATGTGAAAATATAAAATTAACCAGTATATATAACCATATATGATATATATTATTATATTATAACATATATTAAATTCTATATATATCAATAATACATGTTATATATTATCTAATATATGCTGAACATTTATATTTTGTTTTATATATAATATATATATTACAAAGCCAATAATACTAATAAAACGGAATAAAATACAAAGACAACTAAAATACATGTGGAAAACATTTATATTATAAAGATATAATCTCAAATATCTGAGAAAAAGATGGAATGTTTAATCACTAGTGTTGGAACACTTAAATGGCAACTTAGTACAAGTTTATTTGAAAATGGTACTTCATGCAACCCACTTCAATAAATTAAAAATGGAGATCTAAATGTAAAAATTAAAACATGTAAGTATAACAAGTGGTGGAAAAAGACAAATGACAAACTGGCAAAAAAATACTTGCAACTAATATCACACATAGGTGTGTCGAGTCTCTAATGTATTCAACAATGTTAAAAATCAAGGAAAGACATAGATTCTAGAAAGAAAGGCAATATGAGAAGTTCCACAGAACTACACCCTAGCAAGACAAAAATAACTGGTGAAAATATTAATTTTTTAAAAAATTAAAGTCTTTGCAAATTGTGCTAAGGGCATACAGAAAATAAAGAAACTTTTTTTTCCTGAAGAAAATTTACTCCACTTTGTTTAGAGCGCAGTCTCTGACACTTGACCAAGACCTGCCCCCTGCCTCCCCAGCCAACTCTGCAAGAAAAAACCGCCAGTCCAGATGGGATGGGTGTGACCACAGCACCAATCTAGGACAATGGTATCTTCCCCAGGAGGATCAGCCTGCCGGGATTTCTTACTGTCCCCCAGCTCCATCTTGTAGAGGCTAAATTTAGGCAGGTAAGTGAACCAAAGTGTTAGGGCTTTCTTCCTCCATCGGCCCCCACTCATAGGGCAGAGCCTCTATTCTAGTCATGGCTCCCAAGAATACTGGGTCCTAATCGTCTTCATCTTGGGATCCTCGTAACGCAGAGGTTCCAAGCTGCCAGAGACGAGCTGATATGACCTGTGTCTGCTGCTTTCACCCAGCTAGTCCTCATCAATCAGAAGTGTCGCTCTGAAAGAAGGGGACCACCATCCCGCCCCCGGCTCAAGAGCAGCAGCTCAGTGATTTTGCTCTGGTCACAAGAACAGAGCTCTGTAGCTTTTATCAAGGAAACTGACTTCATTTGAAATTGAGCGTGGGACTCTTCAAATCTAAGGTTCCTATTAAAAAACAATGAAGATTTTTGTAGAAAGTTATTAAAAGGAAGCTAGTAGCTCCATGAGAACAGCAAGCTAAACTGAAGGCCAACTATTTTACCAGAAAGAACTAGAGAAAGAGAAAGAGTTTTAAATGTCTCCAAAGAGTCAGAGCAACACTCAACTGCTTACCTGAAAAAATATGCCTGCAAAGGCTATCAGAGCTTGGAGAAATTTATGCCTAGGGCATTGTTGAAAATACAGCAATTAGTCAGCTATTAGTGCAGCCCAACAGCTATAGGTGATACCATCAGAAGTAGACAGCAAAGTAGAGAGATAAGAGATAGTGACCAAAAAAAAAAAAAAAAAAAAAAAAAAAAAAAAAAATCATGTTAATACTACTGTAATCCCTAGAAACTGTGCATACCCAACCCTGCACCCTCTGAGTGACATCAGGGGCTTTCAATGTGAGCTGAGCAGTAGTATTTACTGGTGTAAGGTAACGATTATGAGGAGGACACAAAGAGGATCTGCAGAAACTCTGGTCCTGGCATTGGAGCACTGATGAAGCAAAGCCAACAGTCACCTATATGCAGACTTCTTGATATGTGAGGAAAAAAAATCCCAACTTCGATATGCTTTTATAAATCAGATGCCAGGCATCTTGCTTGTGCAACCATGAGGATCAGGAATAAAATGTGCAGGGTTTTGTTTTTCCAAACTTCATAGGACTCAGTTCCTAAGTCACCTGGTGGTGAAAGGGAAAGTGGTAATGGAGTTTTAAACTGCAGATACCTGCACTCTGCTCTAAGACTTCTGATTTGGTTGTCCAAGGTGAGGTTCAGAAATCTGTATTTTTAATAAGAATCCCAGAGATTTGTGGGGTAAAAAAAGATACTTGGCTGGCATTGTTTAATATCAAAAATGATAAGAATTTACATACCTTAATACAATTATGTTCCAAACTTCTTAGTTTTCATTAGATTCATCTGTGTTTAGAAACTTTATTCAGTTATTTGGGGACATAAATATGCCCAGAATTTCAAGAGTTATGTTTATGTGAAAAGATAAATTAAAATAATTTAATTAACAAATTCGTTGTAACCACATTTATATTTCATTGTAATTTATAAACAATGACTTCTTTATATTCTGCAAAGAGCACTCTAAGTAAGAAGTCATTCAACTCGGTAGCATAGTTAAAGAGTGGTACCTGAATTTTGGATTACTGTGGACACACAATGAGACATTTATTCTATTCCTTGCTCTCACCTTTCAATCTACTGCTTCTAGTTTGTACCTCCTTTTTTGTCTGCTCACGATAAGAATTAGTAAATACTCTATTTGTGTTCTCTGCAATTTCAATGGCATGTTAAGTGCAACAAAAACATCCTTTACTCCCAAGACCTTAAAGCCAAAGCCTCCCATTCAGAGAACTCGTTGACTTCATTTGCTTCTGGGATACAGCAAGAAATAATGTAGAGGGAAAATATAACTTTTTGGATGACACATTCAGTCCTGTTTGAATCCTTCAAACTTACACAGCCAAAAGAAATGTTCCTAAACTCAAGAACTATGAAGTACTAATTTTGAATATTTGAATGCCATATTATC